GGTGGAAGGGTTGCCCTCTAGGATGCTGATCTGCCCTGAAGGCACACACCACCGCAGTAGGCTGTTCACAATATCTCTTCTGGCCCCAGCAATGCATCATCCCACCTCCCTAGCTCCCACACTCTTATGTCATAAAATGTAGACAGCTCTAGGTCAAAATTCATCCCAAAGCCAATCACTCCTCTCACCTCCACAGCCACCACTCTTATCCTGCTACCACCAACATTCACCTGGACTGACTCAAGAACAACCCCCAGGTCTCCCAGCCTTTACCTTCACCTCCAGTCTGTCCGCCACTCTGCAATCAGCGGTTGTCTCTTAAACCCGGACCATTATCACTGCCTTCTGCTTCAAATCTTCCCTATACTCCACCACCCTCAGATTGCAGGCCCAGAACCTCAGGCTGTCATTCCACTCCTGATGTCTGTGTGCCTCTAGCCAACTCCCTCTCTGTTCCCCATTCCTATCAGATGTGAGACTTGCAGTTCCCTGAAAATCACAGCTCAGTCTCATATCCAAGCACTGAAACACGCTGAATCCTGCGCCCAGACACCGTGGCACATCTTATCACATCAATGTCAAAAATGGAACCAGTCCATATAACCCAGGACCAAACTTAGGATACTAAGCCTGGTGAAATTACACAGTCTTCAGACACAAGAGAGGGAGAACAGAATAGGGTCTCATACTAAGCCTTGTGGAATTAGAGTCTTCAAACATAAGAGAGGGAGAAGGACAGAATAGAGTTTCAGGATACCACCTTTATTTATACTGGAGTGCCAAATCCAACCAGGACATAATTAGGGTAGATGAGAAATAGGAATCCCTCTACTCACTTGTGCAGGTTCCATTTCTGCCATCATGAGGGCATCCTGAGGAAACAGAGAGGGCATGAGAAATAGGCAACCATGGTAGGATTCTATAGGCTGAGATGGACTACCTCCTCTTTTGCTTTGCCCTGCAGCAAAATGATCTGAAATTGATTGCATAAATTCAGCTCCTCGGACTTCAGTGCTACCTAACAGCAGCTCTTTTACCCTGGAAAAGAACTAAACCTCTCTGAGCCTGTTTCCCCATCTGTAAACAGAAGATAAGAAAATGGCTCCCATGTCATAGGGTTCAATTTGCATTAAACATTAGTGATACATTATACATATCAGCTATTATTGTCTAAGAATTAATGGCTTTGTACATGTTTTCAGTGTAAATGAAATAATATAGTTTTTAAATTTGGGAATATATTGTCTTTTTAAACTTTTAGGGATTACAGATACAGGCTGCTGTAAAAAAAATAAATAAATAAAAAATAAAAAAATAAACTTTTAGGGAATGTGATGTTAAAATTTTCCATGGAAAGCAAACACTTAGAGGTAAAATACTTAGAGGTAAAGTAACATCAAACCAATTATGAAATATTTTTAGAAATTTAACTTACTAAATAATTTTGCTACTAATTGCCTATCGATATGCACATAATTCAAAAGATACTGGTCAATTATGATTTAAATAATTAATACATTATTAAGTTAATAAGTTATACAGATGGGCTGAGCAGGGAGGTGACCTACTGGTCCTTTCTGCAACCAGGACTGCCCGCTACATCATCCTGTAAAGGAAGCTTGCTATGGGACCTTGACTAGAGTAGCAGATCATCCCCTCTTGTTCTGACATGTGGAAAAGAGGTGGAAACCATTTCCTGCTTTGGAACTCAGGTGCTCCACTAGCTTGGATGGTCTTTCTCTTGTTCCACAGACACTGCCCCTGAGAGTCAGCCAAGCCAAGTCTAAGCCAACTCACACCTCAGTCTCCATCCTCAGCCAGCTCCTTACTCCATCTAGGCCTCCTGTTTTAGAGACACAGGCCAGAATCCTACCTATGACAGGTCTGTCCCTTTTGAAAGACAGGATCAGGCTTATACACCCACCAATGGTCTGGCCCACAAGTCTCAGCCCTCCCCTCCCTCACCACAGAGCTCATCTGCAATAACGACCTTTACACTCCCCTACTCAATCTGATCTTCAGGCCATGCCCTGGTCCAGTCCACATCCTCTAACCTTTTCATATCTCTATCCCAACCCTCTACCTCAGACTGCAGACCTTTATGTTCACCTGCCCATGTGACATACCCATCTTGACACATTTGAGAATCACCATGTCCAAAATCCAAACCAAGATCTCCTCCCTGAACCCTTCTCCATTATGCTGACTTCCACAACTGTATTCTTTCAAATGTTCAGGAAACAAAACAAAACACAACAAATCTTTGGAATGGTTCTTGACACTCCCTGTTTTTGCTCACAGGCATAGCTGCTAGCCCCAGCTTTCAGATCTATGCAGATCTAATCGCATCCTCTCTCTACTAACAACACTCTAGCCCAGCCCCTGCCATAATTCTCCTGGGTCTATTGCAGCGGCCTCCTCAACTGGTCTCCCTGTGTCCATTCCCTATCCTCTTTTCCCAACTTTAAATTTCTAATGCTAGGCATGCCCCTCTCCTCCGCCCTCCCTTCACAACCTTCCATGGCTACCAGCTGCTCAGTTTGACATTCCAGCTGAGACTCCACCAAACCCCCTTCCTCTTTCCTGCACCAATAGCCATTCCACTGTTCCTCAACGCAGTCGAAGCCGTGGCACCCGCGAGCCTTCGCATGTTCCGGCTCGACGGGAACTTCCTCCCACACCTCGTCACACTGGTCGAAACGGGGGCCCCACACCAGAACGCCCCTGTGCACCGGACTCAGCGGCCGGCCCTGCAGTGACCGGAGCGGGGAGGGGCCCCGACGTCCCGGGTTCTGCACTCGGAGCTGGGCCGGGCGCGGGCCCGGGAACGAGCACCCACCTGAGTGAGCTCGCCGGGAAGAGCGGGCCTGGGAGCGGCGGTGACAGGGGTACGACAAGGACACGGCCGTTCCCAGCCCGTCAGCTGGGCCTCACGCCCAGCTCTGTGCAGCGGGGACCAACGCTCTTCTCGGGTTTTTCGGCTCCGTCACCTGGGTGACGACCCAGCCCTCAAGAGGCCTAGGAGAGCAACCAAAATGGCCGCCGCCAGGAACGCACCGGAAGTCCCGCCTTCGCCAGCCCATGGGCGTATGCGTCCCTTCGTAAGCTTTCATTGGCTCCGTCCCGCCTCCGCACACCGCAGGGTCTTCTGGGTTATGAAGTTTCCACTCTGCTTCCGGACGCGTCTTAGATCTCTGATATCTCCTTATGAGGTGGATAAAGGCCCCTTTGTGCTCTGAGGGACTTTGGGAAACTTGGGGCCAGGACTCCGAAGATGGGACCGGGCTTGGCTTGATCTTAAAGGAGAAATACCCAGATTTTCTTGGAGTGCAATCTAGGATACTCACAGAAATGTGAGGGACCTGTTACTTCAGACTGTGAAGCAGAGCAAATTCCGAAAAACTTACATCCAAAGGGACACACGATACCACAAAGGCACTCTGTGTCTACTCATCCTTGTCAGCTACCTAGTTGCCTTTCAAACACATGAAGAGTTAAGCTTTGGAGTCCGTTTAATAAGTTCAGTATGTTTTGTCCAGGAGAAGAAACCCAGACTGTAGATAGGGCCATGGCTGGAAATTTGCAGGAAGAACAGGAGTTACTGAAGTAGGTTGACAGAGTGAAGCTCTGCCTCTCCTTGCAAGAGAAAATGTCTTTTCAGGCTGTATAGTCAGCTACTGTGTTCCTACCAAGAACGCAACATTTATTAAAATAAGGGGTGACTGATCCTTAAACTGATTCTAGAGATCCCTGAAGAAAACATGTTCAAGGTTTTTGAAACCATATTATAGGACAAATGTTGAAAGAAATAAATATATTTAGATTGGTGATAGAGGGGCCCGAGAGACATGTTTTTTAAAATACTCACAGGATTTCTCATCAAAGGGCAGAAGAAATTTTCTCTAAGAGCCTAGGAAAATGACTGTCATTAATGATGATTGGTTTCAGTTTGGAATAAAGAAAGACATTGTTTATTGGGGAAGCCAGGGGCCCTGGTCCTGTTGCTGTCCATGTCTGCTTCACTTCTTTGGCACATTACCTCTGGGTGGTTCTGCTGCAAGTGACCACTTGTCTGATCTCCTTGTCTCCAAGTTCAACACTAGGAATTTTCCTATACAGCATGTTGTATCATACCACACCCCTGCTTGGCAATCTTCAGTGGGTCCCTTCAGCCTCCAAAATAAAGTGGAAATTCCTTACCATCCGTACATGACCCTCATCACTTGGAATATTTTCCCACAAGCCACCTCCTAGATTTTCATGTCTTAATGTTGTGTATTGTAAGTTTTCCCATTCATACATTTTTGTGGATTTTTCCAACAGTCCTTTCCCTGATGGGTTGTGGATTTCATGCCTTCCTTAAGCAAACCTCCTTTGTGCCAAGATGATAAATATCAGTGTATTTTCATTTTCTAAATAGTTTACATTTTTAAAATTATATATTCAAACAACTAGAATTTAGTTCTGTAAAAAGTATATCAAGTTCTAGCTTTCTTTTTGAATGAATATCCAATTGTTCTTAGGGAGGAAAGAGGATTTTTTACAGCTGGACTGAAACAATTCTCTGCTTGTCTCTGGGGATGTCTGAATATTTGGCTTTGACTCTTGGTCAAGTAAGTGCAGCGAGATGTATGAGTGCTAAGGTCTGAAACTCCCCTGAAGACCCCAGGGGCTAATCTGGTTACTGACAGCTTTCACCCAGCATAGAGTGTAAGCCAGCTTGGCTCTGTTCATGTACCCAGAGAGGCATAAAAGACCCTTCTGGGAATTCAGACTCAAGTTATCCCAGATCCAGGATTTGTTGCACAAACATTTTTGGTTCAATGTGAAGATGAAGCACACCCCCTTTGTGAATAGGGATCCCAGGAATCTTGTGCCTGGAAGTCTCCTGAGGCTCCACCACTAGCCTGCACACTTTCCCATACCTACTGCATCCTCATGTGACTGAGGGTGCCATGTGGGTTCACGTCAGTCCTTTCAAACATCAGAGCCTGAGTAATTGTTTCTGTCCCAATACCACCTTATGTAAAACTCTGATGTTATATAGTAAACCCTCATTTTTGTTTCTGGATTCTTTGTTTTATTCCACTGATCTATTTGTTTTTTTCTAGACAAACATCACTTTCTGTTAATTATCATTGTTTTATATATGTTTGGTATTTTATAGGTTAGGTTCATTTTCATTGTCTTTTCATGGTCTTCTTCAGAATTCCCTTCACCTCATTCTTCAACCTCTTTTCCTCCAGCTGTCATTAATAGAGGATTTTCTTAGGTGTCAGGATTGCAGAAGATTTATTGATTTATCAGGAGAAAGTTGCCATCACACAATATTGAGTTTGCAATAAGGTATGTCTCTTACTTCTTTTGTGTCCTATATGAAAGTGTTTTTAAATTTTCTTCATAAAGGTCTTACAATGTCATAGCAGATATATCTCTATATTTAATTGTGTGTGTATAATGAGTTGGGCCATATGTTAACTCTGTGTGTGTGTGTGTGTGTGTGTGTGTATGTTGTATGTAAAATGTGTTGCATGTTCTAATTTTCTATTTCTGGTCTGATTTTTCACCTACCCACTTTATTGTTCTCTGTTAGTAATTGTCACCATCCCATAATTATCTTACCCAGAAAACTTGGCTTTTGTTTCTTTGGGACAAAAAACCAAAAAACTAAACTACACACAAATCCAACTACTTTATACATAAGGGTTTGAAAACTAATAATAGAATCCAATCCCCTCAATTGATTTGGAGAGATGGAAGCTCAAAGAGCAGCAATGTACTTTCTCAAGGTCACAAGTAAGCTGACCCAGCATCCTGTAAATTTAGGATTAGTTTGTCTATAATACATTTTATAAATGCATAAGTTATTAAGATATCTTGCTCATATTTTCACAGAAGTTAAGTTAAATCTTTAGATTAATTTGTTGAGAATTGGTATCTTTACCATGTTGAGTCTTGCAGTTCACAAATACAGTATGTCTCTTTGTGTAGTTAAGCATTCTTCAATTTACTTCATTGGTATTATCATTTTCAGCATATAGAGCCTATACATTTTTGTTAAAATTTGCATCTAGGGTGTTTTTTTGTGTGTGGGTTTTTCTTTTTGAGTGATTGTAAATGGCATTGATATTTAAACTTTCACTGCCATATGATGTTTGGTAGTATACAGAAATATAATTACTTTTGGATGTTTTGCTGTCCTGCAACTTTGTTGAACTCATTTAGTATTTTTTGCCATTTTTTAAATAGAATCCTTGGAATTTTCTATATAGAAATGCAAATTTCTATAGAAACTGCAAATACAGTTTTCTTTCTTTCATCCTATCTGTATACCTTTTATTGTCTTTTTTTGTCTTATTGCACAAGCTAGGACTTCCATTATAATGTTGAATAGGATAATATTGTATGTTTTATTAATAGATGTTCTTTATCAAATATAGAAAATTCCCCTCTGTTCCTAGTATGCTGAGTTTCTGAGTTGTTATGAATGAGTGCTGAATTTGTCAAATGCTGCTTCTCCATCAATTGATATAATCATGTGATTTTCCCTCTACAGCTTGTTGATATAATTGATAGGGTTTGAGTATTGACTCAACCTTGCATCCTTGTTTGTGGAGTATAATTGATCTTATATGTCATTTGACATCAGTCCATTTCCTTGTTTTTTTGTTGTTTTGGCTTTTGCTTTTGGTTTTGAAGACAGGGTCTCTCTCTGTCACCTGGGCTAGAGTGCAGTGGCCTCCTCATTGCTCACTGCACCGTCAAACTCTCCCATGTACCCTTATCTGCCTAAAGATGGTCCTATCCCCAGAAAAAAGTCTGAGGACTTCACCCAGGCTCTGCCTCAGGCTACCACCTATTCTTCCTGGGGCCGCTACCTGCGATATTTTATCTGCATAACAAAACAACCTTGGCTGGACCAGGAGTTTGAGACCAGTGTGGGCAACATAGCAAGACCCTGTCTAAAAAAAAAAAAAATACCTTTGTTCATCATGGATTTCCTCTGCTCACCCTTCCATAACCTGTTGCCACCTCTCCTGAGCTAATCTTGCTGTAGCTCAGGATAGTATAATATATAAATTACAATTATTTGACCCTTTTTTGATTCTCACAGTTTGTGGCTGCCATACGTATGCACACAAAATGTTTGCATGCCTTTTCTCCTGTGAATCTGTCACTATGAAACCTTCAGAGGTTAGACTGAAAGGTTTAAACTCCCCTACAGTGTTCTGGCTCCTTGAGAACAAGATGGATTCTACAAGGAAAGGAGAGAGGAGCTCACTGGAGCAGACATGTCTTGGGGGATGATTTCCCCTGAAGTGAGATGGGATGAACAGGAAACACTAAATTCCAGAGGAATCTCAGGGTCAGGACCATTATCACCTTCTGGCCAGAGAGAGAGAGAGTCTGAGAGTTGATTCTTCTACCTACAGAGAGGATTAATGGGGTTTGCGAAGAGAGTTCAGAGTTACGCTGCTTTCAGCAATGCCCTGGAGCGTGAATTGCACAGCCAAAAAACCAACTCAGGCCCTTGGTTTCCCATTGTATGCATTGAATATTTGTTCTGACCCTGCAGTCCTCTGCTTCTCCCCCAGGGAACACCTCTGGGCCAGAGCTCTTGTACTGGGATGAGGACATGGCACACCCTGCCACCCCAGCTTTGGGAGCGGAGTGCTCAGTGGGGGCAGGGGGGTGTCTGTTTTGAGCTGCCCTCTCCCCATGTGGAGACATTACCTTTCGGCCAAAGCAAGGGTCATAGGGCCCAGGACACTCATCATCATGGTGCCTTAGTTGGAGCCTGCATCCCTCAAGTGCACTTGCCCAGAGGAAAAGGGAACCCCACTCTGAGCCTGTGCTCGCCATGCAAGAATTTATCCTCAACACCAAGTAGCTTGGGGGCAGGATGAAAATGCTGACATCTCTGCCCCTCCTGGGAAGACAGCCCTGCAGCTGGGAGTGGGGAGTGAGGGAGCCCTGTGCTCTTGTGGCATTTCCAATCTTGCTGAATTGGGAGGGTCAAGGGAAAGTGAGGGTCTTGTTTCAAATACGACAGACTTGCTGTTCTTGTATTAATAGAATTATAGTAGTTTCTATTTTTTTTTTTTTTTTTTTGAGACAGAGTCTTGCTTGTTCCCAGCCTAGGTGAGTGCAGTGGCGTCAGCCAGCTCACAGCAAACTCAACTCCTGGGCTCAGCGTCCTTCTGCCTCAGCCTCCTGAGTAGCTGGACTACAGCATGCGCCACCATGCCCGGCTAATTTTTTTTCTATATATATTAGGTGGCCAATTAATTCTTTCTATTTATAATAGAGACAGGGTCTCATCTTGCTCAGGCTGGTTTCGAACCTCCTGACCTCGACAATCCGCCCACCTCAGCCTCCCAGAAGTCCTAGGATTATAGGCGTGAGCCACCGTGCCCGGCCTATAGTAGTTTCTTGAATAAATGCTTCTTCATTTGTTATACATCCTTAGGACCATTTTCAGAGACATTAAATGTTTGCTTTTGTTTGTTTGTTTTCTTTTGTTTGCATGTTTGTTTTTAATAGTTTTCACCAATTTCACTTGGAAGGAGTCTGCAAGGGGCCTCCCACTGCCATGCTGGAAGTGTCTTGGTCTTTTCGTTTTAGTTTAGATTTTTAAAATAACCAAACAGTTTTAGATTGACTGAAATGTGGCAAAGACAGTATAGAGAGTTCCCATGTAACCTCCACTCAGCTTTATCTGATATTAATGTAACATCTTACAGTTGTATTGTAAGATACTGGGCTATAAGGACAATAGACATCTTCCAGCTTCAGTTTACTGCTTGTTTGCTAACCGCAAGGCATTATGAGTATATTATGGGATGCAGAGGAAAAAGACAAAGAGAGCAGAAACCTGAGTCTCTCAGCTAGGACCCGGAACAGGTTAGGGCCTATCAGGGGCAGGCTGAAGTAAAAATCACTGTGGGGGTGGATGCATGACAACCAGTGTATAAACAACTAAGTTTATAAGGGGCTAACAACACAAGGAGGTTCCCTGCACAGAGAAGAGTCACTGCGCTGGCACTCTGGGGCTTTGGACCCTAGCTCGGCTAGACAATAAAACTCCTTTTGGTAATTACAGCCTCGGTGACTCTGTCTCTTTGTCCTGCGGCCTTGTGAATCTCGAATATAACAGTATGGCATAATTGTCAAAGCTAAGAATGAACATTTGTGTAAGGCTGTTAACTAAACTACAGACTGTATTTTTTTCCACTAATGTCCTGTTGCAGGATCCATTCCAGGATAGCATGTTTTATTTAGTATTTAATCATGTTTACTTAGTTCTTTTCCCATTTGTGACAGTGCTCTGTCGTTCTTGTTTTTCTGATCCAGGCACTTTGACAAGCCCTTATTAGGTATTTATACAATGTCTTTTAACTAGCATTTACCGTGTTTTTTTTAAGATATAGTTGTGGGTTTGGGGAAGAACATCAAAGTGGCAAGTGTCCTATTGCACTAACTAGTGGTAAGGATATCCACAAACAATGATCCCTAATGTCTAACCTTGATCACCTTGTGAGGGGTGTTATCTGTCCAGATTTCTCCCATGGAGTTACTGCTTTTCTCTTTCCACCATTTAGTCAGCATAATCCAGGTAACTCAAGGAAGGAATCTAACTCCACCGCCTGAAAAGCCATATCTACAGTACTCTATTTGCAGTTCTTCTTAGGAAGATTGCCCTCAACTTCCCACCCCCTCTTTAATTTATACAAAGCACTATTATTGTTTTTATTTTTAAAAATCAAATAATATAAATAATGTCTCCATAAATAAACTTTGTGTTTGTTCATCTGTCATACACACCGGAGTGATGCAGGGGAAGTGAGCTCCTGGGTAATGTTTCTGGCATGATTGTCTGAACGGGCAAGAGCCAATGCCTTCAGAGAGTGAAGAGAATAGTCTTGAGAGAGAATGAGATCTAGTGAAGCCTGTAGGGTGAGAGGGAAGAGGGACCAGGACTGAAAACACTCACCTGTCTTGCCTTTAGAGGGCCACAGTCAGGAGCCCCTTTCCCTACCTTTCCTGTTTGCTGCCGAGCTATTCTCTCACAGGACTAAAAGGCCAGACACCTTGGGGGGACATTGCCTCATCTGCACAAAGTACTAGACAGACATCTACTGTGGTGCTCCGGGAAAAATTGGTCCTCCATGGTAAAGAAAGAACCTTCACAATTGGGAGCTTCATGTTACCTTCCTTTTTTCTTAGACATATTAAATAAGGTCGTGGTGTGCAGTGGTGTTGCCATCTGTGAACCAGTGGAGGAAAGCAGTACTCTGAACATAGTATAGAGGTTGATTAAGAAAAAGCCCTGGATCCTTCCTGACATCTTAAGACATTGAACAAATCCTGGAAATTTCAGGCTTCTATTTCAGTGAGATAATTAAAAACAAACAAATCCTTGGAGTTTAAGTAATTTATAGATAAGTAATCTGCATCTTGCAACTGAATGCTGTAGTAAGGGCAAATACAAACAAAGAGTGGCTTAATTCTGTTAAAAAGAGCACCCCTTCCTTAGAGCATTTCATTAGAACACTTTTATTGTAAATTCTTTCTCTGCCCTCTTGAAATGTATGTAATTCTTGTTAAAAACCTCTGCCAGTTTTACAACCCAGGAATGGCTTTCTCAAAAGTCTGTGGAACACCTCTTGAAATGCAAATACCAAGGGAGTTATACTCCCATTGCCGAGTTTCCTAGGAGGGAGGATAGGAGCCTAACTTGCTCCAAGTGCCAAAACTACCTGAGGTCATAAGGAAGTGAGAAGTTCCTTTTTTTTTTCCTTTTAGAAAGCCAATTTAAAGTAACTCAGATTGTCACTCCAATAACCAAGTAAATTTAGGTTGAGCTATATATAACAACTAGTCCTGTCATGTTCTTTCTCTCTTTTTTAAGAGTTTTATTTTTTCCGTCTTTGTAATGTATTGCCTGAGATGTACATGACATTCTGGTTTAACGTTTATTCAATAATAAAACTGTTTTCTTTCTCCTTCGTGAAGGTTTTCTGGGTTGGGACATTTTGTTTTGGATTCTATGATCCCCCGTACAAGCGACCACACCCGAGCAGTCTCTCCCTCACCACCTCAGAGCACTTGCTGCTACCATGTGACGAGGTCTTCTGGGTGAGAAGATTGTGTTTTCAATTCTATTTCTCCCGCATGTGTTCCCCGTCTAGAAGAATCCAATTCCAAATGACTTTGAAACTTCTGTATTTGCTAAGCAAATAAATACGTGGGCTGATGTGACTGAGACCAAAAATGCAAGCTCATTACACAGCCCAGAGACACACGGCCTGTGGGAGCGCGGGCCTGAGTGCCGGGGGCGCCACCGCTGCCAGGCCCCGCGGCCGGGTGCGCGCGCGCCAGGAGTGCAGCCGCGCGCTTCAGGGGCTCCCATGGTGCCCCGCGCGCCCGTGTGCCAGTAGAGACGACCCCGAGGTGGGGGCGGGTCGGCGCGTGTGGGTTGGGGTTATGGTGACGCACCCCGCCACGCTCCTGACGTTGGTTTATATTCACCCGCCCGCGCGTCTGGGCACGCGCTATACTGCGCACACACCTGTGGATTTACGGGTTTGTTCTCGCGCCCTCTCAGGCCCCCTAGCACCTCAGCCTCTCCGCCCCCCAGTAGCCACCTCAGCGCGTTTTCAGGTTCCCGCCTGGTCCTGACTCCGCCCCCTACCGCCCCATTGGCCCGGCGCTCGGGGCCCAGGAGAAAGTTCCCATTTCTGTCTTTTCTATTGGGCACGCTGTCGGTGGCGTCACAAATTTCATCCAATGGGAATCAGTCAGGAACTACCTGCTCAGCATTCCCCCCCCCCCCCAGGGCGCGTCGTATAAAAGGCCTGCTCCTGGTTGCCCAGCCACCTCACTACAGGCTGGATCTCAGAGTCTGCGGACCTCACAGGGACCCCCACGAGGTCGCGGGTGGGATTGGAAGAACCGCTGCCTGGAAGTCACCGCCCTCTTCAGGCGCTTGTGAACGTGAGCTCCCAGTTCCCGAGTGCTCTGGAAGGCGTCAGCTTGTCCTCACCTGATGAGTGACCCCAAGTCTGTGGTGCAAGTGGGCAACCATGAGCCCGCAGGTGAGACGGACAGGAACCGCGACCAGAGAAAGAGGGTGGGAAGGAAGTAGTGGTGTCCATGGTTGGGGTGCGGCGCGCGGAGAGCGTGTGGACATATCTCCCTCTCCCCCTTCCCTTCTGTCCGTGCCCCCATCTTCCTGCCCTCTTCTCTGTAGGTGCAGCAGGCCGGGCAACCCCGCCACCCAGCAACTCGACCAGGTGCGTGCTCTCGGCTTACCAGTGGGGAGAGAGGAGGTGGAGCCCAGGGGTGAACACCAAGTTAGGCATGAGGAGCGACTGGAACCCAGGGGTGAACACCAAGCTAGGCGTGAGGGGGGACTGGACCCCAGGGGTGAACACCAAGCTAGGCGTGAGGAGGGACTGGAACCCAGGGGGGAACACCAAGCTAGGCGTGAGGAGGGACTGGACCCCAGGGGTGAACACCAAGCTAGGCATGAAGGACTGGACCCCAGGGGTAAACACTATGCTAGGCATGAGGAGGGACTGGAACCCAGGGGTGAACAGTAAGCTAGGCATGAGGAGGGACTGGAACCCAGGGGTGAACACCAAGCTAGGCGTGAAGGGGGACTGGATCCCAGGGGTGAACACCAAGCTAGGCGTGAGGGGGGACTGGACCCCAGGGGGGAACACTAAGCTAAGGGCTAAGGACGGACCCAGGGTAACTACATAATGCAGGCGAGTAGGAGGGACCTGGAATCCAGGGGTGAACAGTAAGACTAGGCTATGAGGGAGGGATCTGGAACCAGGGTGGAACACACCAAGCTAAGCATGGAGGAGGGACTGGGACCCAGGGTGTGAACAACAGTCTAGGCGTGAGGAGGGACTGGACCCAGTTGGAGTGAACCCAGCTAGGGCATGAAGGACTTGGACCCCAGGGGTAAATCAACCACTGATGGCACGCATGAGGAGGGGACTGGAATCCAGCGGGTGAACGTAAGCTACGGCATGAGGAGGCTGGAACCCAGGGGCTGAACACCAAGCTACGGCGTGAGGGGGGACTGGATCCCAGGGGGGGTGAAACCAAGCTAGGCGTGAGGGACGGATCCCACGGGGGAACACTAAGCTTAGGCATGAGGAGGACTGGAACCCAGGGCACCTGTAGGGTGAGGGGACTGATCCCCAGGGGGGACACTAAGCTAGGCCGTGAGAGGAGGGACTGGAACCCAGGGTGAACACCCAAGCTAGGCGTGAAGGGGGGACTGGACTCCAGGGGGGAACACTAAGCGTAGGCATGAGGGAGGACGGAACCTAGAGGGTGAACACCAAAGCTAGGCGTGAGGGGGGGACCTGGTGAATCCAGGGGTTGACACCAAGGCTGCATGAGGAGGGATTGAAGCAGGGAGGGTGAACACCAAGTAGGTGTGAGGGGGGACTGGACCCACAGGGGCGAACACTGAAGCTAGGCCATGAGGAGGGACAGAACCAAGGGATGAACACCAAGCTAGGCGTGAGGGGGGACTGGATCCCAAGGGTGAACACCAAGCTAGGCATGAGGAGGGACTGGAACCCAGGGGTGAACACCAAGCTAGGCGTGAGGAGGGACTGGAATCCAGGGGTGAACACCAAGCTAGGCGTTAGGAGGGACTGGAACCCAGGGGTGAATGCCAAACTAGGTGTGAGGGGGGACTGGAACCCAGGGGTGAACATCAAGCTAGGTGTGAGGAGGGACAGGAACCCAGGGATGAACACCAAGCTAGGCGTGAGAAGGGAGTGCTGGCTGGTTGGACCCACAGCACACCCAGACTGGGCCTAGGAGAAGGGAGGGTGGCAGAGGGAGGAGAAAGTAAAAGAGGAAGGGAAGCATTCAGAATCCCTGATTTTTCTTTCACCTGCCCTACCTCCCCAGCTGAGGTATTCTATTCTTCTCTCATCAGGCGGTGCTTCACAATTGATGACTTTGAAATTGGGCGTCCTCTGGGCAAGGGGAAATTTGGGAATGTGTACTTGGCTCGCCTTAAAGAAAACCATTTTATTGTGGCCCTGAAGGTTCTTTTCAAGTCCCAGATAGAGAAGGAAGGACTGGAGCACCAGCTACGCAGGGAAATTGAAATCCAGTCACATCTACAGTAAGGACAGTTTCGGTGTGAGACTCTCGCACTGGGTCTTTACTTTTTCTGTTTTCTTCTTCCATCTCTGACATCTGAACCCAGCATTTGGTAGCATAAAATTCTACCTACCCCCAATACTACCCCCAAGAAAGCCCTTCGCTTGTAGTTCATTCCAGTTACATCATATAAATCTCCTCTCTGTGGCAGGCACCCAAATCTTGATGCCCGTTCCCTGTTCTCCCGTCACTCACTCCCAGACTGGGCTGTTATTATTTTGGTCCCAGCACAATTGCCACTTGCGTGACTAATCACTGATAATACCATCATGTGTTGGGCCTCAGGGAAAACTGTGACCCTTCTTCCATCCTTCCTTCAGACACCCCAATATCCTAAGGCTGTACAACTACTTCCATGATGCTCGCAGAATATACCTGATCCTGGAATATGCTCCAAGGGGTGAGCTCTACAAGGAGCTGCAGAAAAAACAGAAATTCGATGAGCAGCAAACAGCCACGGTGAGAGGGGGTGGCTGGAGGCTCTGGGTCTATGAGTTTACTGTGTGCTAATGGGGATCTGTTTGTGGCTGTCATGGGTGTCTACATTTCTTTCTTAAAAATTTATCTCTGAATTTTCTGTAAATTTTATTTTTTTAATTTTCATTTATTTTTAAATTTTCTTTTAAATAAACTCCAAATGGACACATATGTAAATTTTATATAATATGCAAACATGCTACAGCTTCTCATTTGGATATCCTAATTACCTTCAGTGTATCTCTAGAATATTGATAAGTATAAGTTTGTGTATAAGTTTGCATTCTTGGTTGTAAGCAATGGAATCTTCCTTATGCAAAGAAACATACCAAAAGGCTGTGAAGGAGTTCACTGAATATGGCTAGAACTGGCTTAGAAAGAGGTACCAAGAAATTTCTAGAAAGGGAACCACAACAGTGATCTTCCAGCAGCAATGGTCAAGTCAGCTTGCTATGTCAAAATGAATGATCTATCTTTCCTCCCATTTCTGTCTCATTTCCTCCTTCCTCAGAGTCCTGTGGGAGATCATCTAAATAGCTCAGTGTAGGCTGTGTGGCTACTTGCTGTGCTAGGGCAACAAGGAAGATCTGTCCATCCTGTAATGTCCATCCTGTAACAAAAAAAAATGGGAGATAGAAAATCCTTCCCCACTAATAACCATCATGCTATCAAAAGGAGGTAATGGAGTTCAAAAGCAAAAAATAAAAGATCTCACAACAATCATAAAATTCATAAGGGGTATTCTACCTTGTAGGGAAATTGTGGCAGGCTTCACTTCCAGATTGCCTTTACTTTGGTCATACAGATAATAGAGGAGTTGGCAGATGCCTTGACTTACTGCCATGATAAGAAAGTGATTCACAGGGATATCAAGCCAGAAAACCTGCTGCTGGGATTCAGGGGTGAGGTGAAGATTGCAGATTTTGGCTGGTCCGTGCACACTCCCTCTCTGAGGTAGGTCTGGTGGTGGTGGTGGGTGGGCCCTGAGTACTACTAAGGAATGATCCATTTTAATTTATTCCACAAGTAAGACCCGGATACAAACCTGGGTTTATATTTGAATGTTGCTTTTTTCAAATTATTATTTTATTTTTAAGTTTTATTTTATTTATACGTGTTTTAGAGACAGAGACTCACTCTGTCACTCAGGCTGGAGGGCAGTGGGGTGATCATAGCTCACTGTAGCCTTTAACTCCTGGCTTAAGTGACCTTCATGCCTCAGTCTCTCGAGTAGTTGGAATTATAGGCACATGCCACCATGCCCCACCAATTTACTGCCCAGGCTCCAAATCTTTTTTGATGCTGAGAATATTCTGGTGGAACCATTCTGGATCATAAGCTAAATAATTGTATGAATAATCCCAAATAATGGATTTTAGCCGGTCCTAGTACTTGCCTTCTCTTAACCTTGGTCCATTTAAAAAGTCTGTCTCCAAACCCTGTGCTAAGGAGAGGACTGTCCAGGATGTCCTAATGTCTCCCATCTCACTGGAAGCTGGAAAGGAGGATTTCCCTCAGTCTGGGCTTCTGCTCAGTGTTCCCTTCTCTGCCTTCCTCTAGGAGAAAGACAGTGTGTGGAACACTGGACTATTTGCCTCCAGAAATGATCGAGAGGAAAACATATGGTGAGAAGGTGGATCTGTGGTGCATTGGGGTGCTCTGCTATGAGCTGCTGGTGGGAAATCCACCCTTTGAGAGCGCCTCCCACAATGAGACCTACAGACGCATCCTCAAGGTGGGATGGTCACACTTTGGGCATCCGTGGGGGAGCTGGTTGGCTGCTGGGCCTGTGGGACCAGGGCACACACACTAAGGTCCAGAGTGCCTTGGAGGGACTCAAAAAACCGGGAAGAATATTGACCGAGAAACTAACCAAACTTCTTTCTTCTCTCCTGGCTTCATCAGGTAGATGTGAAGTTCCCCCTATCAATGCCTTTGGGAGCCCAGGACTTGATCTCCAAGCTTCTCAGATACAATCCCCAGGAGCGGCTGCCCCTGGCCCAGATCCTGAAGCACCCCTGGGTGCGGGCCCATTCGCGGAGGGTGCTGCCTCCCTGTGCTCAGATGGCTTCCTGAGCCCTGTCTGCCTCTGTTCCTTACAGTTTGTGTAGGGAGCTCTCCTGGCGTTGCTACCTCATCTTTCTTCTTTGTTTCTTCTCTTATTAAATTAGCATTGTGCATCTTTAAAAAGCTGAATAGTTTTGCACCAGGTCTTTATAGTTGTGTGAGTTAGTGTGTGACTACGCTAAATCTTAATTTCTTATGGAAACTCTTTCCCATGAGAGTTGCCCAAGATTCTCCTCCCCTGGAGATGGTGACTTCACTCTCCTTGGAAACTACTGCCTACTTTCTTGCAGATAAATGCCCTGAGGGTGCATAGCCTGTCACCTATCACAGTGGCTCTTTGACTCAACTATTCCCCATGTGTAAAACAGGGCTGTCACCAACACAAAGGTCCACTCTCTTTGTACTGACATTCAACATGCTGCTGTTTCTGAAACGTTTTCCTGCACATCAATGCCACTGAATTCTCAAATGAATCCACTAGCACCTCAGTGTTGTGTCATATTCTGATTGCATCAGAATAAGTCATCCCTATAATAGATACAACTCACCTCTTCCGAAGTCACACTTCGCAGCAATTTGGGGAGTCCCCTTCCAACCTTCTCCTGTAACCTCCTGTCACAGTTTTATGTGGCAGCCGGTCCCTGCATTGATTGCAATAAGCTGACTGCACTAGAGGAAAGATCCAGATTCCTCAGCTGTGAGCTCAAATATGTTTTCTGCTCAATGCAGCCACTGTTGTCACCAACGTTTCTCTCGACTGAAAACACTTCGTATGGAGTTTGCCTTGTTGATGTTACTCTCACTGGTATATTCCACAGGCTCCGATCATTGGGAAATGTCCAGCAGATACAGGACTGATTTCTATTATAACCAGAGCCACTGCTTAAATAATTTAGCCACTCAACTCTCAGATGAACAGCTCACACTGTTGCAGAGCTATAAGTTAAATGCCCCAAGGCATTGGCTCATGGTTTTTAACCTGCACCTTCAGTGCTTACATCTTTATGGTTTCCAGCTTCATCCTTAGTTTGAGTTAATATTTCAATTAAACACTTGAAAATTCCTAATTAACTGGTCCACACTTATGAACCCTGCAATTTATACATGTTAGGTCCTTGATAAACTCACATCACTGGGCACATTTTGAGAAGACAAAGATAGAAAAATCGCTAGGGCCACAACACTGACTGGCAAGTGATATATGTTTACATAATGAAAACTCTAACGTGATTTACACCAGGGATTGAAAAGTGTCTCCAATGTGTACAGAGTTTTCCTCACCTGCACTAATTCCAGACATTCTGGACTCTCATGGCAGAGTATATAAACACCTTTTTGTTTTGTTTTGAGACGAGGTCTTGCTCTGTTGCCTGGGCTAGAGTGCCGTGGCATCATCTTGGTTCACTGCAACCTCAAACTCCTAGGCTGAAGTGATCCTCCTGCCTCAGCCTTCTCAGTAGCTGGAGTAAAGTCACATGCTACCACGTCTAGTTAATTTTTTAAAATTTTTTGTAGAGATGGGAGTCTATGTTGCCCAAGCTGGTCTTGAACTCCTGGCCTCAAGAAATCCTCCTGCCTTAGCCTCCCAAAGTGCTGGAGTTACAAGCATGAACCACCACACCTGCTCTGCATATCTTTTCAAATTTTTCCCCCAGAAACATAGATTCAAGTTGCCCTACTCCTGAGAATATAAACATTTTAACTTTAATATGTTTTACATCTTAATCCAAAACCACTTAATTTAACCCAAGGGCCATCCACATGTGAAAAAGGAAATTATAAATTTCTTCCAAATTGTGCAAAATACTATTGCAAATGATGAATAACAGTGTTCCTTGCATGCTAATTAAGCCACATTTATCCATAATCTCTTTTTATAAACAACATCTAGGAAATTAACTCCACCTCCATTCCTTGACTCAATTAACATCATGTCATGATATTTTTCCCTCCTTTTTTAAAAAAAATTTTTTTGAGATAGAGTCTTACTCTGTCACCTAAGCATGAGGCAGGCACCTAGCTGAACCAGTGAGGCTCAAGCATTGCTGTTATTACCATCATTGCTATTTTCATCATTATCATATCCTCGTTCCCCTGATACCTTAGAGGCCTTATTGTCTACATTCATAGTTCACATGTTGTCCCTACTGTCCTACGTCATTCTCTGATAATTCCCATATATGAGGCTTCTTTGCCTTACTCTGTATTGTTATTTTCAAAGCACCGTCCACCTCCCCCTGCAGCTCAGCACAGAGCTTGGCCCTTTGAGGTGCTCAGCGATTCAGGCCTTGATCTCTCAACCTTTTCCCTTGATCACATTCAACAGCCCAAAGGTCAATGCTACTACCTATTTGACTTTACAGATGTCTGTGACCTTTGATGATGTAGCTGTGACTTTCACCAAAGAGGAATGGGGGCAGCTGGATCGAGCCCAGCGAACCCTGTACCAGGAGGTGATGCTGGAAAACTGTGGACTCCTGGTGTCTGGGTAAGGCCTCCACCTCTGCCGTGCAGGGGACCTGCCTCCTCCTTTCTACCCTCCACCTCTAGACCTGGCTGGTTAAGAAGGCCTCGAACCTGCCTCGCCTCCTTCCCACAACTCACTTTTCTGGACTGACCGCTTCCTATCTGTTCTCCATGTGTCTCTTTGGGCAAGAAACAGTATTCCTTGGCTTGCAGCCAAAGGAGAAGAAAGTGTTAGAAGGCAGTGGGGTGTTTTCAGAAGCCAAAGAATGGATTTCCAGCTGCACCTTAATAGCGCAGTGATGGGGGAACTGTTACTAGAATCCCCGCAGTTGTTTGTCCTGGCTTCTCTCCTGGGTCTGCTCATGTCACTGTCTATTCAGTACAGCCTTTTCTGCCTTAGTGAGTTTGGGGCAAGAGTGGCCCCACGGGCCTTGTTTCTGACCCCCAGCTTCCTTGTCTCTATTTCTCTGGTCTTTGTAGGGTATCCTGAGGCAGCAAATGCTGCCATCCCCTCCCAAGCCCATACTTGCCTGGATCTGTCACCAGTGCCCAGCAGAGATGGGCCTCTGTCTGAGGCTCTTTCTTGGAGTTTCAAAGAATCTGACTGAGGGAGCCTGGGTGGCTCAGGTATCCCCTCCACAGCTGAGTTAACAGGTCAGGCGTGGTGGATGTTCTCCAAGAAAGGGGTGAGTCAGGCAGACTGCCCCAGGGAGGTTTGTTTGTTTCTTTTTTATGGAGTTTTTTCTATTGTATCAATAATAATAAAAGCATGCCTAATGAATGAAAAAACATCATTATAAAAGGGATTTCCGTGTGTAATGAAACACTATGGGTGCCTCCTGGCTCCCATGCCCTCCTGGCTCCCTGCCCAGTGAGCACTGGGCAACGCACGGACATGTTTTTGTTTTTTTTGTTTTTTTCTTTTCTTCTTTTATTTCATCATATTATGGAAGTACAAATATTGTTAGGATTACAAATATTGCCCCCTGCCCCTCCTCCCCTGATGTGCCAATCCCCAGTGGTGCATCACATACATTATGGAAGCATACACCCCTTTCCTCCTCCCCCCTCCCGCCTGCCCACCACCTGATAAAAAGTTTTGTTGTTGTTGTTGTTGTTGTTGTTTTGACATTTTGGTTACATTGTACATCTTTGCCTCTCCCTAAGAGGTTAGCAGTTATGCCCTTCCCCTCCAAAATGCTCACCACACCTAAGATTGGTCCCCCCCCCGCGAATCTGGTGAGCATTGCCACCCATTTGAAAACCATAGTTTTCAATCGTCAAGTACAATTTGATGCGAGTAGATGTAGAACCATTTTCCATGTCTTGGGTCACCTCACTTTGGATAACGGGCTTAAGCTTAATCAGGATAGCATAAATGGTGCTAGCTACAATCATTTCTTAGGATTGAGTAATATTCCATTGTGACATATACCACATTTTATATCCTCATGAATTGATGGCACTTGGGTTGTTTCATGACCGTGCAATAGTGATTGTGCTGCTATAAACATTTGGGTGCATATGTCTTTATAATAGAATGTCTTATGCTCTTTTGGGTAGATGCTCAACAATGCTATTGCAGGTCGATGGTATTTCTATTTCTAGCTGTTTGAGGTATCTCCGAATCTTTCAGACAAAAAGTTGCACTAATTTGCAGTCCACCAGCAGTGTAAGAGTGTTCCTGTCTCTCCGCATCCTCGCCAGCATTTGTTGTTTGGGATTTCTTGATATAGGCCATTCTTACTGGGTAGGTGGTATCTCAATGTGGTTTTGATTTGCATTTCTCTAATAATTAGAGAAGTTGAGCATTTCTTTATATGTTTGCATGCCATTATTCTGTCTTCTTTGGAGAAATTTCTGTTCTTTCCGTCACCTATTTCTTGATGGATTGTTTGATTTTTTCTTGTTAATTCTTTTTAAGTCCTAGATAGATTCTTGTTATTAGACCTTTATCAGAGGTGTAGAGAGCAAATATTTTCCCACTCTGTGGGTTGTCTATTTGCTTACTGATGGTTTCCTTGGCTGTGCAGAAACTTTTTAATTTGATCAGATCCTATTTGTTTTTTTTTGATGCTGTAGTGATTGCCTTGGGATCTTCTCAAAAATTCTTTGCCTAGGCTAATGTTGTAGGGTTTTCCCAACATCTTCTCTAGGATTCTTAAGGTTTCATGCCTTAAGTTTAAGTCTGTTATCCATCTTGAGTGAATTTTTGTGAGAGGTGAGAGGTAGGGATCCTGATTTGCTTTTCTGCATGTAGCTAACCAGTTTTCCAGCACACATTTATTGAAGAGAGATTCTTTTCCCCAATGTATATTTTTGTCAGCTTTATCAAAGATTAGATTACTGTATACTGATGGTTTCATCTCTGGTATCTCCAGATATCTGGTATTCCAGATATCTATGCTTTTGTTCCTGTGTCAATACCAGGCTGATTTAACTATTATTGCTTTATAGTACAGTTTGAAGTATGGAAGACTGATGCCTCCAGTTTGTTCTTTTATTTAAGATTGCTTTGGCTATACGAGGTTTTTCTGGTTCCATACGAAGTGAAGAATTATTTTTTCTAGATCTATAAAGAATGCTGATGGTATTTTGATGGGGATTGCATTGATTCTGTAGATCACTTTAGATAATATTGACATTTTAACTATATTGATTCTACCAATCCATGAACAAGGTAGATTTTTCCATCTGTTTAAATCTTCTGCAATTTCTTTTTTTTAGTGTTTGTAGTTCTCCTTGTATAAATCTTTTGTATCTTTCGTTAAGTATACTCCTAGATATTTAATTTTCTTTGGAGATATAGTAAAGAGTATTGCGTTTTTGATTTGAGTTTCTGCTTGATGGTTCTTGGCATATATGAAAGCTTCTGATTTGTGTATATTGATTTTATAACCTGAAACGTTACCAAATTTGGTTATCAAGTCTGGGAGTTTCTTGGAAGAGTCCATGGGGTTTTCTAGGTATAATATCATATCATCGGTGAAGAGCAAGAGTTTGATTTCATCTGCCCCCACTTGAATGTCCTTAATACCCCTCTCCTGCCTGATTTCTATCGCTAGGACTTCAAGCACTATGTTGAATAGGAGAGGAGATAGTGGGCACCCTTGTATAGTTCCGGATCGAAGGGGGAAAGATTTCAATTTTTCTCCATTTAGAATGATATTAGCAGTGGGTTTGTCATAGGTGGATTTGAGAAGTTTAAGGTATGAGCCATCTATGGCTATTTTTTAAAGAGATTTTATCATAAAGGTGTGTTGGACCTTGTCAAATGCTTTTTCTTCATCTATTGACAGAATCATATGGTCTTTGTTCTTGATTTTATTTATGAAGTGAATTGCATTTATAGACTTGTGTATGTTTAACCATCCTTGGATCTCTGGAATAAAGCCCACCTGGTCATGGTGAATTATTTTTTTGATGTGCTGCTGAATTCTGTTTGCTAACATTTTATTTAGGATTTTTGCATCTGTATTCATGAGGGATATTGGTCCGTAATTTTCTTTTTTTGTTGTGTCCTTTCCTGGCTTTGGTATCAAGGTGATATTGGCTTTGTAGAATGAGTTAGGAAGGATACCATCCTTCTCAATGGTGTGGAATAGTTTCTGTAGTATAGGTATGAGTTCATCTTTGTATGTTTGGAGAACTCTAAAGTGTAGCCATCTGGCCCAGGACTTTTCCATTTGGACAGGTTTTTAATTACTGCTTCAATTTCTTGCTTGAGATTGGTCTGTTTAGGAATTCTGTTGCCTCCTGCGTGATCTTAGGGAGGTTGTATGAATCCAAGAATTTGTCCATTTCATCTTTGTTCTGTAGTTTTTGGACACATCGTTTTTTA